GAGGCTACGTCAAAAATCAGCTTGCACGTTGCTCATCTTACCCCTGAGACACGTCGTGGGGAAAGTTGAGCATGGATAGAAAAAGCGAACCTCTTCTTTTCCCGGGCGCGGCGAAGAGTGGGCTCTTTTATTTACTCCATGGCATACATACTTATGGCAAAGTTTTTTTCCTCCATCAAAAAGTGACTGTTTTAAGCCTTCCAATAACTCGTCAAGTTTTCTATCACGGAAGAAATCATTTTATCCTTCAGATAATCTGCAAATCACAACTTGTGTATATCAACAAAGAAAAACAATTTCCTACCATTTTTATTCAGCAGAAACAAGCGCAGCTCAGTTTGGTTTTCGACAGCAGAGAAAACAATGGCTTATCCGGCTCATCTTCCCCCAGGTGAAAATGGCTCATCTTGCCCCACCCGTGGCCATTTTCGATTAATGACACCCGCTAAGGAAAATCACCATGCACCGCAGATAACAACCATCTCATTTTAAAGGCAAAACATGTCTTAGTTATCAGGGGCGATACCACATGTTACCGGGCGCTGAGCGTGAGAACGTTGCCTGTCTCACGTGAAAGACTGCAGCATCGTAAGCGAACGGCACATGGAAGCTCAAGTCAATTAGCAGCTGAGAAACATGGGGTGGCTAAACTTGCCCCTTGGCTCATCTTACCTCACTCTCCCCTATTTGGGGCTCTCAACCTTGATTTGTTAAAGTCATTTGTCTGTTCATTATAAAAGCTGTCAAATTTGCCGTATCATTAAACTTTTATTGAGTTTGTATTTCACACTTATCTAAAATGAACAATTTTGTCACTGGTTCTTTTATGAATGGAATTGGATGGTCGCATGAATGAACGAATGAATAGCTCCATTTGAGCATCAGCTGAAATCAATCCTAAAATTTAATCTACCAGTCTGCAACGAAAAGGTTTAAAAACCAGTGCAAGTTAGGTGCAGTTTCTAATCTATGCCGTTTTTATTAAGTGTCTCTCATAGCTCCTTAATCTTGAGCCGCTTCTCTCATGATTCATTTTATGTGGTGCTTACTAGAGATGTCAATCGGATACCAACATTTTGGTATATCGATACCAAACCGATACCAACTTGGTAGAGACCAAACGATAGAGAATTGATCAAGGATCACGATAGTGAAGGTTTCAAGTCGATTTCTCTTGCCGTTTTGCCGCAATCGGCGCGGAAAGCTGAAAAAGTTAGATTTTTTTTCCGAAAATTTGACCTTTGACCGGTCATAAGTAGGTCAAATGTTGACCTAGGACCAAAAAATATACCACCAATCGCGAGATCTCGTTGAGAGCAATCCGTTGGTTTTTTCCGCTAAGCTCTACGACGCTCCGTTTTCAAACACCAGGGGGGGTCGCACCAACCCCCCTGCATGGGCGAAGGTGGCGAAACACCGTTTACGGGCGAGGGTTAAAATTCTCAGACAAGATGCAAAAATGATAAGGGCTATTTAATTTTCCGGGAAATTGTAAAACTGATTAACTCCAGGGCACCAAAGAATCGTCGCAATTCTTCGCTTTGCCGCGATTTTTTTGGTGAAAAACAGGGGGCGCGGTCTACTTACCTCTACTTTTATGTGTGGTGAGGGCTAATATTCATTTTATCTGTGTTGATGAATGTGCAACAATTTCTACATGAGCTGAGACCAGTCCATATGAGTATGTTTTTATCACGGACAATGACAATATAAAAACAATGCGAATAAAACCAAACGTTTCGGACAACAACGTGCCTCCGTCAGTGGAGAAAAATAAGTGTATAGGTTTAACATCGATGAGAACTAAATGCGGCACCGTCTCGGTCTGGCCAGCCGGGTTGCCGATACAATACACAAATGTTTATAACCTTCCATGATGTGCTTAAAAAACTGCTGAAAATATATCTTTAAAAAATAAGGATAACTACTTTATCGATTTTATCGAAAGAAAACATGTATGCCTAATTACTTATTTCTTGCCACTGCCGGAGGCACTTTTTTTTGTGCGAAACGTCTGGTTTTATTCGTATTGTTATTGTATTGTCATTCCCTGTGAGAAAAAAGGATAACTCTTCAGTTAGTAACCATAACAGCGAAACGGCTTAATGTAACACAATTCACTGTGTATACGAAACCTATCAGTCCCTAAAAAATAATCCTATTTACAACTTTTTAAAAAGATACAGCCTATACAGCATGGGCATACAATTTTTTTCTGCATTAAGATAATATTCATTTATCTCCACATAATATGGTAAATTAGTGCTGCTGAAGTTCGCTTTCGAAGCGTCTCCTCCAGGCATTCCACAGCTCTCGTGCCATTTTGGATCACGGAACATGGCTGGGCGCAGGACAGGTCGTCTGCGAGCTTGGACGGACCACGTGACCACCTCCTCCCCTCCCCCTCACTCCCGTCCCCTTCCCTACCAGGGCGTCCGATCTAACCGCGCCCCAGGCAGTCGGCTCGGTCCGACCCTCCCTGGTCGAGCCACGGCCCGGTGCCGCCTGAGTTTGTGCCGGGTGCAAAACTGGAGCAGTAACTAGCGCCGGAACTAGTAGTCAGCACGACCATCGTCAGATGGCAGGAGTAAATGGAATAAGCGGTTCCAGGTTTCAGAAGGAATGGGGCAGGAAAAAGCGCTGAAAACAATGTTTTGCTGATATAGCCATAAAAAGTTCACTGAATTAGGAGAGCAGCACATCAGTTTAAAGCCCTTCAGATGGTGGTTTTAATAAGCACACAATCATTTCCCAATTCGCCTCCAACGGTATCACAGGCAAAGAATACGCTGAAATACTAGTGTGTACAGAAGCAACTGCGGGTCCCTGTACGTAGGGTATAAAGTACGTATGGACAAAAGTACGTCACGGACAAAAGTACGTATCGCAGAAGTACGTAGGGTATAAAGTACGTATGGACAAAAGTACGTCACGGACAAAAGTACGTATAGCTAATGTACGTAGGGTAAAAAGTACGTATGGACAAAAGTACGTCACGGACAAAAGTACGTATGGCAGAAGTACGTAAGGGTATAAAGTACGTAAACGTATGGACAAAAGTACGTCACGTACAAAAGTACATAGAGCAAATGTACGTAGGGTATAATGAAGGATAAAGACGCAAGGTAAAGACCTTGGGCAAGACGCCACAGATAATCTATTTTGCTACATAGGCCTACCAGGCCTACCTAAATTTTGTGCTACATCACCTGGAAGGCCAAATTTGTGCTCAATGTGTTCTTTGGACATTTTACTTTAAATTCCACCCCTCAAATTCATTCACTTATGATTGGACTCCCAGCTAGGAAGTGATTTGTGAAGCAACTGCAAATGGGACATTTTGCCCCAACCCCAGGGCAAAACGCCCCACGGCCTGAGGCAAGAAGCCCCATGCTCTAGAGTCTAGCTTAAAGCTTAAACATGGTAGTTGGCTAAATCTTATATGAGAGATCCGTTAGACCGCTGGAGGCACGGCACTGAGGTTAGCACCTTCCATTCTATTAGGTGTTCAGCTATGACACTATTGTATGAGCAGGTTTTTCACGTGCCTCATAAGGCCAAATAATAAATTATTGCAATGCAAATCAGTTAACAATACACTTCCTTTGCCATACAGTTGCTGAGAAAAATACATATAAATGCATAGAAACTTGCTGTTCGCCAGCTACCGAACATTAGGAAGTGGGTAGTCCGAACAACACATGAGGTAAAACGCCCCATGGGGCTTTTTGCCCCGCGACCTACTGGGGCGTTTTACCCCATCATGTAGTTCGGTCAGCGAACAACGCCTTGCGCTCCAGCAAGACATAATTTAACACGAACCAACCCGGCATTATAATCGTTAGACAATAGTTGTTCAAAATACATAAAAGTCGTTAACCTGATGTGGACTACAAAAGAACGCGAGGAGGCATAATCAGATGACCAAACATAAAAATCACTAAAAAAACAACATATTTTTGGCTATATCTCCCTAGAGAGTTATCACAATTTCTTTCCAGCTCATATAATGATCATATAGTGCACGTTTAACAGAAGAGAGGACCTTTCCCCAGAACCCTGTCAGTTCCGAGAGATATCGGTGAGGCCGCCAGGCGTTTTACCTCGGCGGGGCGACTTGCCCCGGTCTACCCTACGTGTGGACCAAGTGCGTCACGGACAAAAGTACGTATAGCAAATGTACGTAGGGCATAAAGTACGTACCCCACCCATGGGGTAAGTTGATCAATGTGTAATACCTTTCTTATTCTTTATTTAATGAGCATTTGTTACAAGGCATAGCAAAATTTCTCGATGAGTAAATGGGCGAAAGGAACAAAGCTATATTATTTGGTACCTATATGAATTTATCATGAGTTCCCTATAGTATGGCAACAGGGCAGCAATAAAGAAAAAGTGGCTCAACTTACACTACTACTACTTCTAGCATACGTACTTATACACTACGTACTTTGGCATACGAACCGTACGTACTTTTGGCATACGTACTTTTTACACTACGTACTTTTTCATACGAACTTTTGCGTACGAACATTTGCGTACGTACTTTTGGCATACGTACTTTATACACTACGTACTTTTGCAAACGTACTTTTGCGTACGAACATTTGCGTACGTACTTTTGGCATACGTACTTTATACACTACGTACTTTTGCATACGAACTTTTGCGTACGAACATTTGCGTACGTACTTTTGGCATACGTACATTTTACACTACGTACTTTTGCATACGTACTTTTGCGTACGTACATTTGCGTACGTACTTTTGGCATACGTACTTTATGCACTACGTACTTTTTCATACGTACTTTTGCGTACGAACATTTGCGTACGTACTTTTGACATACGTACTTTATGCACTACGTACTTTTGCATACGTACTTTTACGTACGAACATTTGCGTACGTACTTTTGGCATACGAACTTTAGAGCCTACGTATATTTGCGTACGAACATTTGCATACGTACTTTTGTCCTACGTACTTTAGCGATACGTACTTTAGTCCTAAAATCCTCCTCGGTATAGATGGCGCCGTACGAACGCTGTGTGGACACAGCAGAGGTCTCAGGACGGATGGACCAACTACCTCCTCGGTATAGATGGCGCCGAACGAACGCTGCACAAACACAGAATACAGGTCTCACAACAGGTGGACCAACTACCTCCTCAGGGCTCAGTATAGTTGGTGCCGAACGAACGCTGCACGGCGACAGAGCAGAGGTCAGGATAAAACAGAACATAGGGGTCAGGGAAGCTCAGCAGCAACACTATCAGAAGACATCCAGTGAATGCAACAGAAGAGAGGGGTCAGGGTGGCTCATTACGGACGCTGCGCAGAGACAGAACGGAGAGGTTAGACGAAATGGTATAACTAACGCCTCCATCACTATAGCTCCGCATACACACCAGACGTGAACAGGTCAGCGATCAGGAGTGCTGCCTACGGACGCTGCGTCCTGACGGCTGAGAGGTCAGGGTGGCTGGGAATAAGCACTACATGGCACGCAGCAATACAGTTGGTTGCTGGGCTTTGCTGCTGTAATGGTCGCGAAAATGCTGAAGTGCAAACTTACAAAAATACCATAATTTAAGAGCGGAATCGCCCCGTTCAAGTTATTTTGTGTCTATTAGTCTTGTTTGAAGTCTATGTACTCTACACTTTCAACAGTCTGAATCCCTCCGAAAATATGATACCATCGCCCATGATCGGTACTGAAATCGAATAATAAGGAGCATAATCACTAAGCAGAATACCCGTGCCAGTGACCCGTAAATCACTCGGACGGGAAGGCCGTGGTCATTGGACCACAATCGGCCCCCGTTGTGGCCTATGGCCGGGACCTCAGTGGGTGCGGATACAGGGTGAGCGGCCATTAGCCACTCCCCTGACACTGGCGGTCGGTAACTGGAGGAGGTGCACGGGTGAAAGTGAACACGATAGAACGGCGACGGGGAATGACATGGCTATAACAAAGGACAGGCGACAACTCAGCACACCCATATTGTGGGTATGTCGAGTCCCACAACCATTGGAACGTACGAATATTATGTGTACGTGGTTTCCGTTCATTCAGACGTTGGTGACATTCGCAATTTTTTCCTTTTCATGAGAATAACCATCCCAACTCGAATGTTATGCTCCTAGATCTTCGCTAAATAAAAGAAAGAAATGCCCATAATCGAATTATTTCGGTCCAGTGGGCAATCAAATTTGAATGTTTACGATACGAACACCCGTTTGTAGTTTGTTTAATTAAGATGCACTTTCCGATGTAACTTTTTTCTTCACTGTGTCTGAAAAGGACAAGACGGGCCCCTAACTGAACACACGAATGACACTCCACACATTTTACCTGTATCTTCTCGGAAAAGGCGTGTCGTGACCTCATCCGTATATAGCGGGAGGCATTAGGTGTCTAGTCTCACCCGTACATATATATCGGGGAGAGTATCGCGTCCTCGCCTGTATGATCTGGTAATTCCTCGTGCCCTCACTTGTAGATCAGGAATTCCTGGTGTCCTAATCTGTATCTATCGAGGGAGGCCTCGTGTCCTCACCTGTATATCGGGGAACTCCTTGTGTCCGATGCCCATGGTGGTAAAGTGGGCCACCATCTCTGTTCCGCTGAACACCCGACAGCCCCTGTCAAACTCCTTGTACTGATCCAGCCGGTCGGAGTGTCGGTCCATCCACTGGCTGATGTGAGACAGCATCCGGGCCTGCCGAGTTAGGGACAAAGGCTGAGACAGGCAGAGCACGGCGGGACATCGTCACAGCCCCAGGGAGGGAGGGAGCGGCCCTACCAAATAAAACCACTGAACAATCCGTGGAATAAAACAACACTGATACAACGTGGGGAAAAGAGCGAACATTAGAACATACACAAGTCTTCGAACAGCAACAACCACATTTGTAACAGCCTCAATACGCCCACACACTTATCACTACCCCTAATCCCGCATCCTACCTCCTCACCATATATCACTGCACTAACTCAAGGTGGGTCTGCCGCCCTCCCTCACCAATTCACCATATCCCAGCACCAACTCGAACTGGGTCTGCCGCTGCCCCTCACCATGTCCCTGCACTCGAACTGGGTCTGCCGCTGCCCGGAGGCTGCCTTCTCCAGGTCGCGGATGGCGTCCTGGATGTGCGCCTGCTGGAACGAGCCGCTGGCCGCCTCCCGCGAGCTGTCCTCCACGTTGTGCGCCTCGTCCAGAATCACCACCTGGTTCTTGAGACTGATCTCCATCTGGGTTGGAGATACGGGCGGCGGTGGCTCCGTTAAAGAGTAATCAACGGTAATTGACAGCTGCCATCGGCACTGGAGTAGAAAACAACAGCAAATATCGTGCGTGGCACCTAAAAACAAATCCTCAGAAAACACGTGATGTGCTAAAAAATGCTCTCATATACTTATTTATGCGTCAGGTGTGGACAAAACTTCACATAATTTAAAACCTTAACATCTGCATTACTTGACGATGACGTTGACAACGATGACAATAACATAACCATTGACATCTGCATTGTTCACAGCTTCTGATTGTGTTTCTGTTCTGTCCATCTTTTTTCTGTCTCTCCCTCTCCGCCTCTGCCTCTCCCTCCCTGCTTACTGACTCCCTTATGGAGGGCTCGATCAGGTAGTTGTACGGACAGAACACGATGTCGGCGTCCTCCTTCAGGTTTCGGCCGGCGTAGTAGGGACAGGCGCGGATGCGTCGGCCCAGACCGACCAGCTCCTCCAGCGACCAGGCCTCCGACAGACCCTCCCCGGGTAACTGCTCCTGGTAGCGCAGACGCTGGTTGGCCCGCGTGAAGTAGCCGCACGAGCCCTCCTGGGGACACAGGCTGGGTTAGCGGCCATGGAGGCTAGACAGCAGGGTGCTGAAGTGCGGAACAACTTAGGAGTGAAGCATCCATAAGGCTTCAGTTCTGGAGGGACACCTTTATCTGAAATCACAACACTTCTTTCATTAAATCCGTCACAGTATAGGTACATCATCTGATCATACATGAGATCAAACACGCATACATAATTATACTTCCGTGCTAGCTGCCCACACCCGCCCGCTCTTCAGTCGGCCCCCACGGAGCACACACCTGGTTGTGCGGGTCACGCAGGTCGCGGCAGCCGTCGTTCTTGTTGGCCGAGCGCGACACGTCCGGATGGATGCAGGTGTGGTCCCGACTGGCCAGAATCGTCATCCTGCCGGGAGCACGGCGGGTCTCAACTCCCAGCGCACGGCGGACTCGGGGCACGGCGGACTCGGGACACGGGGTAATGGGACATGGCAGAATCCCAGGTCACGGCGAGATTCAGAGTACAAAGCACTGGGGACACGGCGGGACTAAGGGCTTTGGCAAGTTCAACGCACACTTTCTTTTCAGCATAACTAATAAAGCCGATCGGCATTAAAAAGCCGTATTTTATGTCACTTATTCTACACACACAGTCCAGCAGGATATCACGAAGTCAGCGCGGCTGACATAAAACATGCATATTCGGCCAATATCACTGCCTTATCATAGGGAGCGTGTCCACCAAATAGGAATAAGAGGGCCCTTATTCCTTAGGACTGGGCTTAGAGGCGGATGTATGCTAAAAAGGCGCAGGCTTTGCTCAGAAATGCAATGCATGTTATGCAACACCGAATATGAATGACGCATTTTTTTGCTGCTTGGAATTCACCGGAGTTCATTTCTGGAAAATATGTCGTCACCATAGGAAAACGAAGGCTGTCTCACAAATCACCTTACTTTAAAGGCGGAACACCAAAGAATCAAGATGCAAATACTTGTGCGGCTCAGAGGTCGAACGGCTTGGAAGGAGAGAGGAATTCGACACTGACGGAGATACCTAATTCATCAATGTCAAATACCAGCGGATCCCGCAAAGGCAGCGAACTGGCGAATCCGCGTCGATATAAAATAACGGTAAAACGGTGGCGATGACAACGGCAGGCTTCGACAATTAGGCATATTTCAGAACAGACCAACATAACTAAGCATGAACTAAGCACTAGATACAGGTGTTACAGACTCATACGGTCTGCAGCATAACAGATGTTAACGTTCAATATCTCACTCTAAAAAAAAAAAAAAACAATGGTTCGCTTCATGGAAACGGTGTGATTTGCTGGGTTTGAATCGGGTAGTCATACGGGACTTCCGGTGCTGTGAGTCCCAATTTTTAGTAGAACTCACAGACCAAACCGTGTGAAGGTATTGTAGGGCATACTGACAGATCATTCATGAGTTGATTGAGAGTGGCAGCGACGGGGGGGGGGGGAGTTGCCCACTGGCACGGTTTCTGCTCAGCAAAGGAAATGAATATTAGTACGTAAAAATAAAGGTGTAGCATGGGAATTACACAACAATGCTACTTGAATATGTTTGAAATTTGAATCACTAACTGAATGTGTTTTGTGCCGCTCCGAGCAATAATAAGAAAACAGCTGGGATGTTCCAAATAAACCACCTTCATTTTCCATATAGCGTGCGTCATTTCCACCAAGGCGAGCGCGAAATCTAATGAAATATTTCGTAGCATGTTGATGAGAACATTGGACCACGCCCGACAGCCCACGCCGCCCGGTCCGTCTCAAAATGAGATATATCTGCGCCGCGTGCTGACTCTATTTGGCTCCCTCCGGCTGCGGGCACAATTAAATTCCGGACGCCGGTGCCGCTCGGCCGTGCTCTCCAGACTGGGGAGCGCGCCTCGAGTGGCGCCTCGAGTGGCGCCGAGGGCCGTGCACAATGGGCTCATCCCGAGGGACGTGCCGAGTCGGGCCAATTCAGACGCAGCGCGCGCGGCGCAATGGCCTCTCAGGCCGGCGCCGGCCGCCATCGCCGCCGCCGCCGCCGGCACCGGCCGGTATGCTGACGCACGCACACTGCCCGGGCGGGGGCGGGGGCGGGGGCGGCTGAGTCGTCACCGACACGCAGTCAGCAGCGCGGCGACTTCACACGGCCGAATCACTGGAAATCGGCGATCAGACGGAGTGAGACAAACAGGCGCGCGGCTGCGTCGGCACAGCTGCCGAGTCCAGCGGCGCCACTCAGCAGTGACACGGCATCTGACCGGCCAGATGAAGGGCCGCCCGGGAATTCAAAGGCGATCGCCGACAGATGGACCTAGACTTCACAGGAACCATCTAATACTGCGCAGCACTGGTATAGTGGAAACATAAAAGCAAACGAATTAAATGCCTACCAAGGGAATACACCTACCTCATGTTCGATAGCAAAGAAATATGTTCTAAACATGTAGAATATGTATTTGTGAACATCGTTTTTCCGTTACAAAACATCATTCCCTTCCCTCTATCTCAAAACGGGAAACAAGCACACAAACAATGCTAGGTCCCCACGTCAACGGACTCCTGTTGGAGCCAGCTGGGGCATTCCACGATAGATCGTACCAGGCTCGTCACCCTCATCTCTCAGATTTGGATGAAAATCGGTCCTAGGGGTAATCATAGGCCCCAAAGACGCCTGGCAAAATATCAGACTTCTCAGATCAAAACTTTTTGAGTTATATTGCATTACATTTTTTTAACTTCGGTATGTAACGGTGAGTTTGATGGCCTATAACTCAAGAACGGATTAAGCAACCAACAAAAAGTAAACAACACTAAGCTTGCGATGAATCAAAAATTAATATTACTATTTAAAAATTCCAAAGAAAAAATTTCATTGTTGAGCAAAAACCTTAATCTTTTTTCATTTGCCTCTAATGACTTTTGGGACCAAAATTTTTCACATTTTTATTTTTTCAAAATAATCTTCATGTCATTGCAAATCGACATGCAAAAAATTAGAAAGGTGTTCTTTCTATACGTTCCTCATTTTCCCGCAAACAAAATGAGTTTCGGAGGGGTTGATACGACCCCAGCACGCCGTTTCGCTTCTAATAGAGCTAGAGCCTCGCGGAAAAAACGAGCGTGTGTGCCGTTACAAGTCGCAGCGATTGATACCCGATTTTAAGGTCTCAGGTTAACCGGTAGCGTCTGAGGTCAGGTCACGTGACTGAAGTTACGGGTTCGGTTTTTAGTAAATAACTTCGCAAAAAATGGCCGAAGAGCCGCGATTTTGGCATCATTGTGTTCGCCTAGCTCAGGTGCATCGAATGGTATACCTTTTGCTAGGGTGAGGTCAACTTAAGTAGTTGACCTTGGGTCAAGGTCAGGTCAGAGCCCCTCAGGTCACGAAGCTGGGCAAAGGGTATCATATGGCATATCATTCGATTCGGAAGGTCTTCCTGAGTCCATTGGTGGCTTTTCCGACTCTCTAGCTCCATTTGATCGGGAGTTATTGACGAAAAACTCGTACGACCCTAGTGACGTCATAAATGACGTCACGCAAGGTTAACAATGCAAAAGTAAAGCATTGGACTTTGCAAGGAGTGCATGAAATCACGATACCATGTACGTGGGATAGTTTTAGATCATTCTCGGCGCCAAAATAACAGTTTTTATATTTCCCCATGGATTTATAACAGTGATGTCACGTGACCGACCTGACCTCATGTAACCTTGAAAATTCCCAGATATACAAGTTGTGAGACCTCTGGAGGACACCATGTATGCGTCCTGTAGCTTTCATCTCGGAAAGCTATGGTCATTGGCGTCCAAAACAATGTCAGAACCAAACAGCCTTTTTCACCCTCGCGCTTATAGGAAAGAGGGTTGAATGAACCCTCTTGTCACTTTTTTCAGATGACTCAGACTTGAATTGAAATTTCAGTAACCCGTGATGTCACTAGGCAGCTTTACCACTCCATTTGTAAGCTCCCCTCCCGAAATCACTATTCGAAACCGTTATCGTGACGTAAAATAAATACATTTATAGAAAGAACACCTTCCTAATTTTTTGCATACTTCTTAACAATGAGCCAAATATTTTTTCTAAGAAATAAAAATTCAAAAAAAATTGGTCCCAAAGTCCAAAAAATACAAATGAAAGAAAACTCGATATGTCATATATCAAAAACAGCGTATTTTTCGAAATTTCAAAAATACATATTAATCTCTGTTTCATTGCAAGTTCAATGTTATATAACATTTGGTATTTGAATAATCCGTCTTAGAGTTACAGCCCGCCAAACTTAGCGCTGCAAAGCAAGATCCAAAAAATGTTATACACCATAACTCAAAAAATACTTATCTGATAAGCCTGAAATTGTTACAGGTGGATTCAGAGCCCCTGATTACCCCTGAGACCAATTCTCGTCAAATTCCGAGAGATGAGGGTGTCAAATTGGAAAAAAGTGGTACGATCTATCGTGGAATGCCCCAGCTATGTGTACCTGCCCTATTTTGTGAAAAATGTAGCAATGTCTGGAGCAGCTAACAGTCCTTCATTGATTGATCGCTTACATGACAAGTTCTGCCACCGTGCGCTGTCTTGCACGATCCGTCGACTCCTGTCAACTAAACCTGGCAAAAGGTTCACGTTTGCGGTTGCAATTTTCGCCCAATCGCATTTGCTTCCTGAAAGTGAATTAGTCAGGGAAAAAGCGTCACCCAATTCACACGCAAACAGTGTGTCAGAAAAGGCGCCCGGTCTGCCGCCGGTAGCGCTCGCCGCTGTCGTTTCCGGGCCGCGAAGCCGGTCGTCGCCGCCGTTTTCCTTGTCGACGACCGCAGGTCTGTCACCGCCGGGATACCTGTCGCTGCCGCCGACCGACGGTAGCGCGCTTCTTTTTCAGCTCCACCGGTGTAATGCGAAACTCAGTCTGGCGTGCAGAGCACTCGCTGCATCGGGATGTTTTCCGGATCACACGGCTATTCGGACTAACATGTGAAAATGACACGTCACAGGCCACAGTTACTCGTAAGATGGATGCAGCCTTGGACACCTACGGTCTACACCGCATACGGGTCTAGTAAATCCAATACCAGTAAACAATGTGATAGTTGAATTTGGATAGAAAAGCATTCAGGAACAAGACCTGAAAAACGAGCTTCAATTGCATCGAAAAAAAAATCGGATTAAAAGCAACGCTATAGTAACACTCCGGGCGCTCTAAAAAGACATTTAGGCTTGAGCTGGGATACTGGGAAGGTCGCTTACTTCAATCACCTCCGATAATGGTCGATTTGTTACTGGCAGGGCGACAAAATGACAATGGAACATACTGTCTTTTAGTACCTAATACGGGACAATCATACGGACGTAGTCTTTCAAAAGCATGACTTGAAACTCATAGCAAGTATGAGTAACAGACCACTTGAGTAATATTGCATCGCATGCGCAGTTCGCACGCAGTGCCCGGGTACTCAGGTATCGGGTCATGTGGGTATCAAAAATGTTTGTGCCGATATACAGACTCTGACTGACCTTACGACTTATCTGTCGACATACCTTAAAGGCTAAAGCTCTTTTAGGCACACAAACATATATATTTTGATTACCAGTAGTTGTGTTTCCTAAGCTCTTTGATAGCGATGAATGCCTATTCCAAGCATGAAAATGTGGCCTTTGATGAGTGGCGAATGCCGACTGATCCTCTGCGAACAGCGGCAATCAAACGACAATTCGCACAGCCCAATGTCAGGAGCTCCAAAAATGCACTTGTGTGTGATGCAAAAGACTGTTGAAAAAAAAACTATCACTGCAAATTTCTTAAGCGAGCGCTTGTTCCATTTCTTACAAGTTGGTTAAAAAAGTCGATGGACAAGTAAAAATATCAAATATTTCATAGCCTGACTTTCGGTTACATCTCCGTTAGACCGCCGCAAAAAAAGTAGCGAATTGGTACGCACATTCAGATAAGAAATGTAGCAACGGAACGAGGGACCAATGACGTGTCAATATCATTTTCAAGGCCCACAAGATTCGGAGCAAAGACTTTTTAGTGTCATTAACCAATGACCAGACGTCTGTATTGCTTCCTTTTCTTGATCGGTTGGTAGTCGCTCGGTACCTATAAGCTGTGTGGCCTGGTCTTGCCAATCTTTCCGATTCCCAAACAAAATGAAATAAAGACGAAAGTAAATAAGGCTTAGATATATTTTTATATTTAATATTGGTATGTTTAATAATCTGTCTGGTAGGCACGCACGCCGGTCTGTCTGTTCTACCACCCTCAGCCCCGCTCACAGCGGCCGTCGCTGCAGCTGCCCCGGTCCCGTGCAGCCATCGTCACCGAGCGGCGGCGGCGGCGGCGGCGGACGCCATGCTGCCAATCAATAGCGCCGGCTGCGATTGGTCGCCGCCGACCGCCCCCCGCCGAGCGCGCCGCTAGCACCCTTCATTCGCAGCCCCCCATCCCCCGCCGTCTGTCGGCCGGGATGAAAGCGTGGCCCGCCGGCGGTGGCCGCCGCCGCTTTGAGCCGAGCACAATGCCGGGTGGGCTCGGGTTCAGTGAGCGGCGCTATTGAGCGCCGAGGGCGCCGGGCCGGCCGCCACCTCCGGACACCGCCGGCGTCGGCAGCGGCGCGCCCCGTGTGAGCGCCGGCCGCAGCCCGACGACTCGGCCTTGGGCTGGGGGCGCCGGCGGTGATGGCGGCACCCATGGCGCCCAATAGCCGCTATTGATTGGTGTCCCGAGAGGTGCACCGTGAAAGGAGCGGGCGCCGCTGCCCCCCGCCCCCGGTCGCGCCCCGCCCGGTCCTCTCAATGCGCCACGCCGAGCAGACACACCGGGCCAGCGCGATCGCAATCCGATCTCCGATCAGACAGGATGAATGTTAAATGGTGGGGAAATTCAGACGGAGGGGATCGAAGGTCTTTTGATCGCTTTATGCGTCATGCTGTTACCATACCTCGTGTATGCTGGCAGCACGTCTTATGTTCCAAATTTAGATTTGTAAAAAGGTACCAATGAATGAGCTTCAGTAACTCGGAATACTAGTTTTTTTTTTCTTTCTTCTCTTTGCCAGACATCACTCTACCTCATGAATATGTTGCCTTGTATTCATAGGTGTGAGGAGCCCGTTTAGCTTTCTACGTAAGGAACTATGTTATGCTAACCGCGACTGGAATTGTCAAGACACAACCATAAACGGCGCAAATATTTTCCCACAAGATCGTACCAAGCGTAGATTATCATGAAAAACATTACACACAAAATAAAGTGACATCTATTCAAAACTGGTTAAAAATGAGCAATACCCTGTAGGACACAGCATTACCGGGCGACTGGTATCGGTCGGAGGCCGCATCCCAGCCAGCGCCGCTATGACAGCGAGTACAACTATGAACGGATATGTCAACACAAAGTCAGCAGGCCACAAAACAAGGTCAAAATAACAATAAATTGCAGTCCCAAGACAGGGAACACGTCCCGACCTGGTATGGCGGATGTGCTGAGAAAATACCCAGAACTGAAGCTGTACCGCAGAAACTTCTTTTGGGGTATGACACCGGGAAAATAGCGCAACGGACAAGCTGGACTTGGAATGTTAGCAGAGAACACAGTACACATTGAACATTGCCGAAATACTGCTTATTGCTTTCGGAAATGACATTCCGAATAAAACTCAGCAAAACAAAAGGATGTGAATTGCTCAAAATAAAAAAGAAAGAAGATAGAACACCTCGAATTAAATCTAACTATCGATACATGAGGGAGCGCAAAAGCTTGGCGGAAACGCATCACGAAGTTCAGCGCCCGGTTGACAATATCCATAGAAACATTTACCTTACCTTACGGTCATTGGGATTGAGATCAGGCCAGATACCTGTACACGTACTGCAGGCCCAGCTCTTATCCCAAGTGAAAATGATGTCAGCTAAAAGTGAAGACAAGAGCGAAAATGTCGTACTCACTTTGCATGTTTGTAGTTGGTTCTTCGCAGCTCCCGTGTGATTTGAGCGATTTGTTTGTGAGTCCGTGTTCCGAAATATATCTTCGGCTTCCTGCAACAAATAAGAGAGTTGTAAAAGGTTTCGTTTTAAAATATATTAAGACATTTACGACATACATTAAGGCGAGCGCTACGACAAATGCAATATCATTTGCACGTGCAAATCAGAGGCAGCAGAATTGACATTGTCAGCTCAATCCAATATCAATTATTCAGTGACGAAGAGGCCGTGAGTATCGGCGGTGTCGCCTTGTCGATCATTACAGCGGGGTCGGATGTGACAACTGACTGACATTGCAGTGGTTTTGTGAATGCTAATGGGATTATGCCGTTGTGACATTTGTCTGCCTCTCATCCCACTCCGAAAATCAATCACGGGCTTACAAAATCGACACAACGTCCTCAAAGCGCAGCGTCTCTCGAATACTCCTTCAACGAGCCATCAGGTCATATGCAAGGATAGGAGACACGAGTGGTATGTACCGCAGTGAATACACTAAGTGCCGGTAATTACGTAAGGTCGAGTCTCAGAGAAAAGATAATAAGCAATCGATAAACAGCTGAGCGTACAGACAATCCTTCCTACATAGGATATGATCACACTTCTTCAGGTCAGGTCATTGACCCTTGATGACCTCGGTTCACTTTTTCGAGCTGTAAATATTTCTAAGCTAGTTTTTGGAGCTGAATTTGAATTTAGCAACCATTTGAACATTTACGAAGTAGTTTTGGTGCCTTCGTAACATGTTACGAAGCTGTCAGAGGCGGTTGACACGTAGGTACTACGAAATCCCGTCACGACCCCTACTGGTTGACCTGACCTGACCTGACCCGACCTGGTCTACATGCATGAAGACATCATCTATGATCAAAACTAACACGATATTTGTGATCAGCACCCCGAAAAACCCCTTAGCAGCCACACTTCACGATTTTCTAACAGGTCCCGATTTTCCCGACTTTGGGTCATTGACCTGACCTGGAAGGTCAACCAATGACCTAGGACCTTAAAATTGGGTATCATCGGCTTCCTCTCGTCACGGGCAACACGCTCGTTTTTTCCGCGAAACTCTAGCTCGATCAGGGGCCAAACGGCAAGGGAGGGGGGTCCAACCGACCAACCCCCCTACACATTAGAAGCTGGCAAACGCCGCACACATGCGAGGGTTAAAATGTGTATAAAATGTATCACAACTAAAATACAAGCCAAAGCAAAGGGCCAATCGCAACACTGGTTAGCGGCGCGCTCCCAAATCACCGTCACCAGCCCCAAGAGAAGCACCGGTAAGTGCGGCGCTAAAACCGCCCCAGCCCGCAGTGCAACCGGCTCAGTGCGGGAGCGGCAGCCCGCAGTCATGACCGGCACAGTGCGGGAGCATTAGCCCGCAGTCCTGACCGGCACAGTACGGGAGCGTCAGCCCGCAGTCCCGACCGGCACAGTACCTACCCACGGGAGGCCATGTCGCCTGGGAGCGGCCGTGTTCAGCGCCCAGTAACCAGAGACGTCAGCCGGCACCGCTCATTACTGGCCAGACAGCGGCGGACAAAGCGGACACTTCCGGACACAGGCGGTTTGATGTGGCCGCGCGGCCGGAACCGGTCCAGGGGATACCAACCGAGAGGACTGGAGAGGAGTGGGGCCGTCTCACTGTAGGCCGGCAGCCTGAAAAAGCGCTAGAAATTCCCCCAAACTGACTGTCCGCAATATGAACAAAATAGGTATCATTTAATCCCAAATTGATCGAAGAATACGATTCCGATGCTAGTTTTGCCCTAAGGTCAAAATTGAGGTCGTCAGTTGTCACCAAACACAAGACAATTTAGACTCTCTATAGGCCACCACATTTACCGATTTTAATGATGAACTTTAGTGGTAATTTATTAGTTGACCAATCGTCGTTTTGAACGAAATTTCCTGTCACACTAGTTCAGGGCACTGTTGTTCACTGTGCCAACATCATTCTGACATATTGCATCGCTTTTCTGCAAGATAAGCTAGCTGTTTGCAAGCAGCTGCAAGACGTAATTTAAAATCATATCCAATTTTTTAATTAGACTTTTATAAAAACGTTATTTCGAGCGGCTAAAAATGAACATTTCATACTAGCCTCTGATTACTCATCTTTTGTTCCATATAGGTGCTTTGCTGCTTTTCCCTGCTACTTTTCGAGATATGCGCCAGTAAACCACATGATGTAGGGGCAATTGTCACCTCGCCGCTCTACTGAAGGCCCGGCGCTCTTTAAAACGCTGGAAGTTGTGAAAAACAAACGCTTATAATCTAAATGAAATATATGTCCCTGAGCTCAGAATTGATCAACGCACACAATGCTGTCAACATTTCTGGGCCAAACTCAAAAATTCAGTCATTATTAACCCCTAAACACAAGTCAGGGATAATCAACAACAACTTGCTCTTTAGTTAGACTTTTTGAGAAATGTTATTTCGAGCCGTTAAAAATGGCCATGCCATACAAACCACCAATCATCTTTCTGTCATGCCCTACTCGCAATTTTTGCTAATGCCTGTGACTCTTCGAGGTCACGTGACCTCACCATTAAAAGTGAATGGGGAAATAAGGAAACTGTTGTTTTTGCGCATGGAATGATTTCAAACTATCTCAAGCACACGGAATTGTGATTTCGTGCACTCCTTGCGAGATCCGATGCTTTACTTTTGCATTTTTGACCTTCCGTGACGTCATTTATGACGTCACACCGGTCATAGGAGTTTCTCGTCAATAACTCATGATCAAATTGAGCCAGCGACTCGGGAAAGCCACCAATGGACTCGGGAAGACCTCCCGAATCGAATGATATGCGATACGACCTCCTCCGATTAAGTTCGTGGCCTGATGGGCTCTGAACTGACCTTGACTCGAGGTCAATACCTTAAGTTGACCTCACCCGAACAAAAAGTATACCATTCGACGCGCCTGAGCCAGGCGAACACGATGGTGCCAAAATCGCTGCTCTGCGGCCATTTTTTGCAAAATTATTTGCCAAAAACCAAACCCTACCTTGGGCTTTTTGACTTCACCTCAGAGGTTACCGGTTGACCTGGGACCTTTAAATCGGGTATCAATCGTTCCGCCTTGAAACGGCGCACACGCTTGTTTTTTCCGCGAGGCTCTAGCTCCATTAGGGGCGAAACGGCAAAAAGGGGTCGTACCAACCCTCCCCCCTCGGCCGGCCGAGGGGGTGGGGGTCCGACAATAGGTCCGGCGAGGGTTAAGCAGCCCCACTTCGTTTTTAGCATGTTTGCTTGTCACTGAGATCAACAACTCAATCACAAATAATTTCTAGCACTTTTCCGGACCCCCGGCCCAGTGTGCGTCTGGGCCGTCATATAGTGTCCGGGTTGGAGCGAGATGGCGCCAAAATGTACATCTGAAGTGCAGCGAGATTGTGTTGGGCTGTTATATTATGCATTGTGTAATTTAGCATCATATTGACTGAATGGGATATGGCGAAAAGCACTGGCAATGTCTGAGACACAGTAAGGTTGACTGATATCACCTGCGGTGGTTAAGATCAAACGAGGTTACTACTTACCTCATGTCTGGTATAGAAGGGTTCAGGGATAATGGTCGGATTCAATTGGAATCAGAAACGGTCACCATGTTAGCTCGGCACTGAGGTAGCTATTAGTCATGTCAGAGGGACGATATATATCAATGTATTTCTATGTATCTATGTATTTTATTATAAGCTCCACCATGACAAAAAGTGATTGCCTATAAGACAGTCAGTAAAATGAGATATCAGCAATGTCACAGAAAAGTGCGCTGTGTTACAACCATATCGCAGTTACTCACTTGAGTCTTTTCTTTCGTCCGTTCTGCAGTCCATTCTCGTCCCCAACGTCGGATATTGATGTGTCCATCATAGACACATCCGGGGCGATCTGAAACAAACGCAAACGATAAATAGTGCAGGATACTGCCGGTTCAGAAGGCGCCTCTCGGGGTCCATTGCTTCTCAGCGGCAGTCCAATACCTTGCATCGATTCAAGTGGCTCAAATACTACTCCATTCTCAATCAAACAGCAGTCAGTCAGCCTAACTTACAGCGGTTATATTTAACCACATCTCTTTTTTATTATCTCGTCCTTCCCTACTGGCTCGCTGTATCAGTTACCACAAAAACACGAGCAAGTACCTAAATAACGAGCATTAGAACTGGATTTTGCGTTAGCTCAAAAATGAGATGTCTCTACTTGTTCATGCATTTGCGGTAATTGTCCAGTGTCCGTATCAGTGTCTGAAGTAGCGTCCAGGACCCCCCTAGAGCCCTGGGTCGGCCCTCACCGGCGGCGCGGTCCGCAGTCTCTTCTCGGCCATTGTCTGAAAGTCGTCCTCATCACCGTCCCAGCCTGCAACATCAAACGGGGCGCTGAATGCCACACCAGCAGCCGGCGCATTGGACCGCGGCGCGCTCACTTCAGCACCGGCGGCGGAGCGGCGACGGGCTTCATCAGCAGCGGCGCTCATCAGACCCCCTCCCACCTACCCCTCCCACACGGCGAGCTCGTCTCTGATTATCTCCGCCGGGGAGCGGAGTGCCGGCCCCGCGCCGCGCGCGGGCTCGCAGCCTCCGCTCCACCCTCAGCTCTTGGAAGAGGAAAATCGCGTCAGCCGTGCCGGTGGCCGCCCGCGGCGACAGCGCGGGGCGTTGCCATGGTGACGAGAGCAGCACCGGCGGCGCCTCCCCGTCTCTCTGCCCGCCTGCCTCTCCCTCCCCGGGGGACAGCTCTCAGCCCGCCGCACACTGGTCGGAAACGCCCTTACGAGAGGCCACGGGTGATTCCGGAGTTTCGGATTATTTTTGATATAGATCGATTTGAAATTGATCAAATTATTGTACTTAGGCCAAAAAAACTAATCCGGGTGACCAAAATTAACTGTAATCAGCCCCCGAAGATGGGGTATCCCAGAACTCGGAAACTGACGCAGAGCAAGAGGTTTCTTGAGCCGGATATTCAGAGTCTTATTGCTGCTAGACACCAAATTGAAATCCCACATATTATGCATCAAAATGTTCGTTATGAAGTTGCCGACTGGTCAGTGCAAAATTTTTGGTATACTTTTTCCCTAGCTAAGATGTACTGTAGCTTTTTTATGAAGGCTCTCCTACAGTGATTCTGGAATATAACTGCAAAGTTTAGGTAAGGAAACAACAGGTAGTCCCATCTAGTCCCACTCTGATTTTTTGTGAGATGAAGCAGGATTTAAACTTACACCAGGGCAACATAAAAGCTAACTGCGCATATTTGCGCAAAATTTGCAGGAGCCGCTCTTCCTACCCAACTACCGCCCGCCCCGCCCCAGTTTCGGCTCGGCCGCCGCGCCCGGCTTACGCTGACCTGTGTGGCCTGCACGCATCCATTGGGTAGTTGACTGGTCGTTAAAAACAGATGCGCTTGAGTTTATGCATTTTGTGAAAAGCGCATTTTATGTATGCATTTATGTATGTATTGAAATCATAAGCCTTCCACATATTGCGTGGCGATTACGGCTTGCATTTAGAGAGCCTTGCTATTGACAACCATCACTCGGCTGAAGAAAGTGGAAATTGAAACCTTCGTGAATATAAGACGCTGCAAATATAGGACACCTGTCACTGACGTCGGGTTACCATTTATATACACTGTGGGGTTACCTTGGGCCGTCTTTTAACATTAGATCACAATTCCGGTATTTAACCCTGGCCGGACCGATTGGTTTTCTATATTGACCGGGGAGGGTTGGTACAACTGGGTACAACTCCCTCGCCGTTTCGCCTCTAATTGAGCTAGAGCCTCGCGGAAAAAAACAAGCTTGTGTGCCGTTATAAGACGCAACAATTAGGTACTACCCGATTTTAAGGTCTTAGGTCAGCCAGTGACCTCTTAAGTCAGGTAAGTGCCACAAGGCACGGGCTCGGTTTTACGTTAATTACTTTGCCAAAAATGGTCGCACTGCCGCGATTTTGGCATCATCGTGTTTGTCTAGCTCAGGCGCGTTGAATGATATACTTGGTGTTCGGGTGAAGTCAACTTAAGGTGCTAACCTCGGGTCAAGGTCAGGTCGGAGCCCCTCAGGTCACGAAAATGGTTGAAGGAGGTCATATCGCATATCATTCGATTCGGCAGCTCTTCCTGAGTCCAATGGTGGCTTTCCCGACTCTCTAGCTCCATCTGATCAGGAGTTATTGACGAAAAACTTATATGGCCTTAGTGACGTCATAAATGACGTCACGCAAAGTCAACAATGCTTAAGTGAAGCACTGGACCTTGCAAGGAGTGCATGAAACCATTCCCGGTGCCCGAATAGCAGCTCCCAATTTCCCTTGTTGACTTAAAGTGGTGCTAGATCCTGTATTTTACTCAATTATGACGTCATAACTTAACAGATTCACGTCATATATTTAGTGCTTGACATCCAAATGATAGCTTACATATGACAGAGAAGGTATGCAAAGTTTTATGAAGTTTGCTTCACTAGTTGTGGAATAACAAGCAGAAAACTTTTGCGGATAGGCCGCTGGCCTCTCGCTGGAGCGTTTCCGACCAGTGTGCGCCGGGCCGCCCGGCACGACAGAGCTGGCTAATTTTGCGCCATCAAAGCGCGCCCGGCGGCTGCGGCGAGGACTGAGGCGCCGCCGTCGGAGCCAATACCGGGGGTGGAGGGAGCCAGACGGCACAGAGGCGAGACAGATTCGGTCTGGGGAAATACAGATATGGTGGCGAGGTATAAGGTCTGAGGATCGAGAGATATGGTGGCGAGACACCCAGTTTGAGAATCTGGAGTGGCTTGACAAGAGTCTGGGGATTGAGAGTGGCAGATCACAGGCACTGGCGGTAGTGTAAGGTGGCGAGACTGGCTTACACGATGCTAAAATGTAAATAGGAGCAGTGCAGTACATACAGCAGAGATAATTCGGAAAAGCCAATACAGCATACCCGAGTAAATGCGAATGTACGCCGTCTGAAGCTAGATAGGTAATTGCCGCATACATGTGAAAGGGAAACTAGCTACGAAAGTCATACGGCACTTGTGTGTTGGGTGTTACCTGCCCCCGGCGCGGCTGCGGCGGCCGGGGGCCCGGCACCGGTCCATCCCGGCCCGCCCTCGGCACCGGGTCTGGGTGACGGGTCACTGAGTCCCGCCGCTGCTGAGGCTGCTCCTCCTGCTGCCGCCGCTGCCGCTGCGGGGTCGGTCCGGAGCTGGGGAATCTCCCGCAGCATCAGCTCCTGGGTCTGAGCTGATGGCAGAACCACAGGGAGGGCGGAGACCACGGAGCGTCAGAGCTGGGACGGCCATTTTTAGGCACACCTTCCGACCGACAGAGCCGAGACGGGAAACGGCGCCACCAGTGATCCGCTGTCGGTTGGTAACTGATGTTCTTAATATTTGAAGGGCCTAACATGAATTCTACGCAGAAAATGATATGGCTCAACACGCATGCTCCATAACGCTTAAAACGAAATTTATTTCTTGTCTTGACATATGAACACCTCATAAACTGAATACATGAACTGTTAGGTGAATATGATGGCAATGTCACAACAGCCCGGACGATAGAAATGGAATTCGAATACAGTCACAATCCCAGGTATGCCATAGATTCTTTACCTCTCTCCTCCATGTCGAGTTTTCGGTTGTACTCGTCAACTCTCTCTGAAAACAAGACACGACAATCAGAGACTGACAAGTGGCAATATAAATGACTCGCCAATTTTATCTGGAAACAAAAATACACGACAATCAGACTGCCAAGGCGCATGACATAGCAGAGGAAAATCAACACTAGTCCTTGTCATGAACTGTAGGGTGCGGAACAGTGGATAGGCACTCAGCTGGTATCAGCATACGACTTCTGCAGGAAAACAGCAACTGAGGGAATGATGTACTTATGAAGCGAATGTAAAAATTTGAATTTAAATCAAGGTTATAATTTATAAAACAATCACTCCCAGTACAAATGCCAGCTGCATAAATTGCAACACAAGAGAGCATATGATGTGATGCTTCGGTGCTATCAAAACAAAGCCATTTACTCAATCTTAAAAGGAAAATAAAAAACGCATTTTATATTAACTCTGTTACGCCACATATACTCCCGAAAAAACGAAATTATTTTGTAACAGTGGTCTGAAAAGCTTAAAAGCTGTTGTAATAGGGGAAATCCAAGAGTTTGTTTACGTTTATCGAGCAGAGTGAAGGGAGTGAAATTAAAAATAGCGGAGATACAAACCACACCACTCGACAACACCAAACACTACTAAAAATTGGAGACTTATGCAATTATATCCGGGTACACATGAATTGAATAAATGACGTTCAAGTCCATGGAAACTGAGCTGGTACAAAAAGAGAAACAGTCGATCTCCGTTCTTGACTAGGTAGGGTAGGGTGGGGTAATTTGAACATGTGGGGCAATTTCAACATTAATTATAAGTTAATGTTTGAAGTTTGAACACTGGGAGTTATAATTTGATCTTAAAGAGTGGACTTAAAACTTTGACAATTGGTCAAGGTCATGACCTGACCGGAAAATGTCGTGTTGCATATCAGTCGATCCGTATTGTCAAGCTGAACACATCTAAGGTGTTTCTATTGCTCTAGATTGCCTCTATAAAAAGTTATTAGCGAAATGTTGCAAACTGTTACATAGGGTAGGGTGGGGTAATTTGAACATGTGGGGCAATTTGAACATAGTGTGAAAAACACAAAATTACGGAAAATCCATAAGTGGCATGACAATAAGACCAATGAGGGAAATTATCGTAACTAAAAGGGCTATCAAATGAACGGGGTTTCAAGTTTCAGGGAATGAAGATGTTGACGCACACTGTAAAAAATCAATTTCGCAAGTAAAAACGCCTAAAAACACGTCATTGCAACTTCATTGCAGCGCAAAATCTTGCATTGCTAGCGCCTATTACGCAACGGCTTTTGTGGTACAATGACCTAATCAGTGCCTTCAATCCAAGAAATTTGCTTTTGAAACCTGTTTTTAAATATGGCAAAATAACTTTTAGCGTGGGGTAATTTGAACATAGTGTAAGAATTTCAGTGGAGACAGGGATAGCTCCGAAAAAAAACGTTCCCAGTTTGTTTGTTTTTTTGCCAATATTTTCGACCCAAAGCAGTAGCAGATTAGTGATACCAGTTTTATAAAATTTACGTCTAATATCCGTCTAGTGTCCGGCATTTTCGTTGATTTCCGTTCAAAAATGTTAAAGTCGGCCATTTGTCCAAATATGTCCGAAAATTGCGCATTAATCAACACTCAAAAATGTCATTTGAATTGCTTATGATGTAATTTTACCAGCCGAAAAGTGTTCATTATATCGAGAGCTTAACAAGCTTTCCATTCGCCAATCAATGCTATGCACGATTACTTTATAAAAAGCGCTGAAGTGTAGCAGGCCATCGTCCAATGTTGTCCAGTCTGCTACCTTTGTCCAACCAATTCCGAATTGGACATTGGACAAAATCAGAACTCCAAATGTCCAGGTTTCGATTGGCATCACTATAACAGATGCAGTAAGGTTGGGAGAGGTTTTATCGGACAAAAATAATAGACGTTCTGTTGATTGAAGAGAGGCGAATTCTGTCAACTGACCGGTGTGCAGCGTGCAGATATTGATACTCTGCAACTGTTATTTTTGTTGCTGTGTTGCTTTTTCAAGTGAAGGTATGTTTATAATTGTTCTGCCTATTTGTTTATGGATCAACCAACATCGGTGCTGGCGAGACTATCGTTTTTATGACAGGTAAAGGCAGTATGTTCAAATTACCCCACGGTGGGGAAATTTGAACACACCGTGACTTGGTGGAGAAAAGAGGCTATGCTATTCAAGGTATGCTCGGCTCGTCCAAAAATGAGGCTTGCATGGTGAAAGGCAAGTGACACTTGTGCTACTGAAGCAGTTTTTCTTCATCCAGGGTTGAGCTGGAATTTGGTACAACGGAGAAGACGTAAAAATATGTTCAAATTATCCCACACTACCCTACTATCCCGATCTCAGTCAGTCTAATCCCGGATTCTTCTAAATAGCCTAACCATTGGTTGTGGAATTGACGATTCTGAGTGACAACCCATGAGTAGCCCGCTTTCCCGGCCAGCCCGTCCCGGCTCCCTCGCCGCGGACACAGCCGTGGACCGCTGATGACGGGAAGTACGACCGAGCGCCGGCGACCGCGGCCCGCAGCTGTATTGAGGCGCGGTGCAGCAGAGACGGCCGCCGGAACGGACAGAGGGTCGGGACGTGATGAGAGGTGACAGCTGCCGGACCAGGCAGCAGCCAACTGTGTGAGAGTACCGCGAACGGACGATCACGCGCAGAGCGGCGTGAGCCAACGGACACGGTGTGCTAACGGCCGATGTCGCATTATCTCGATCATAGGCCGTTTAACGATCGGAGGACAATGTCAGGTAGAATTGAAACTGGTGGCAACCAGACGGAATAACAGGTAACGATGAGTTCCGCTCTACAAAGTCGAAGGCATACTGACCACTCAAGACAGGTGCTGAATTGGCTAAGACATTGGCGTTTGATAGATCAAAAACAAATGACTGACTGACCAATCACCACCCAAAGTGGGTTTACCAGAGACCGCAGTCGATGACGCGGTAAGAGGTGGATCGACCACCTTCCATACCCAGAACTACAACAGTAGAAGGATGCTTGGTAGTTAGGCGCTATTGGGAGCCTGTACCTAATAATTGGGGCTAAGGCGGATCGAGTGTTACAATCATTGGAAAAGAGTACCGCAAACTGTAAATGCATCGGTATCGGACGTACCGTCCACTGACTACGATTTGACAGTATCTGCAGCACTGGTATAAGTTACACACAAACACATACTTCTTTTTGCTTTTTTTGCCCGCCAGTCATAATTAGGCATAACGGACATCCGATTCAAAATATGTACTGGGTACTGTTTGCGCACGGAACACCTAAAATCAGTTTCGAGCCAGTTTCCGTGCGTATGTTGGTACGTCTGTCCCGCTCCAAACGCGGAGATGGCTGCCGCCATTGGTTGGCAGGCGCGGGCTGTATGGGCGTACGCGGCTGCACTGATGAGGCGGCGGGGGCGGGGGCGCTGCGGCCGCGGACCCGCAGTCCCTTCCGCAGCCGTCTGTCCCCGTATAAGTGGCCGCCGAATACGGTCCGACCGGCGAATCCGAGCCGGGATGAAAGCGGCCGCCGCCGGCCACGGCTGGTGGCAGCGCGCCGCGGCCATAGCGGCAGCGCGCAGCGTGCATAGCTACTGCAGGGGGCTGCGGCTGAGACCGCCGGCCGGGGGCGAGACTGCCGACCCGGGGGGCTGCAACCCCAGCGGCGCAGCCTTGGGTGACAACCCGACACACCGATCAGTGAACAGTGATCACCGAGCAGTCCCCGAATCACTGGTGATTTCCTCTGTTACAGACATCAAAGCCTACAACATGTGGAAGCGTAAAACGCCGCAAGTATGTATTACAAACATAAACAGAATTATAACGAGGACGTTGTTTTGTAAAAGTAATAGGTGGTAACAAAACACTACCGCCTGTTTTAGGCATCACTGAATGAGTGCAAAGTAGTCATACCATCGAAAAGAAGACGGGCCACATCATGAAGTGGGTGGATATCAGCGGACTTGCTGGACCGAGATGGGCACATCTGCACCAAACTGTACTCCTCTGCGGGGATAATGCCAGCTAATGAGACAGCTATCGGTGGTATGACATGCTAAAACCGAATATAAGGACACCGGCGGTGCTCAGAAACAGTGAAATTCGCCTGTAAAGCCCGTTTGAGCCGGCGATTACACGGCCTGTGCGTTGAGCCGGTCTCGTCTGCTGAGCTCCTCACGAGCCGGTAACGGGATCAGGATTGGAGCGACATTGGGGTGAGATAGCGAATTAACGCGGGACTCGAGCTCAGCCCGACTGCCACTGCTCTCCTTAATTTACAATAGGAAAGTGCGCAGTTTGTCTGCAATACTGAAATAACGAAAATGTGAGCATAAAAAACAAATGTAATAAAAAATGAGTGAACAAAAAAGAAAAGTAAAAGAAAACAGAAAAACAAGGTACCGACCCCATATGTGTACATAAGACTTCAAGCGTGTTTGAATGAAGGTGTCAACGGTTCGCACCACCAAAACAAAAACCAAAGTAAAAGAGCATATGTATTATGTACGTGTCTCTATGCGTAGTTGCATGAAGAAGTAAAGCTAGTTACATCGATGAAAGATAGGTAGCCAGCACAGCTTTTTTTGTGCAAGGAATAGAAGCACTCCTCGTTTGCCTACGTCATATGGCGCCTCTCCAATGTCACCTTGCTGTTAGTAGCGCCCCTGTTCAAATATCCACCCCATATGCCCCTCCGATTCATCAGATAACGCGCTCTCGGCGAATATGAACGGAGCGGATTATCTTCCATTTGTCGGCGGCGCGGCCCTCGCCGAAGCCCTTCTCCATAATTCTATTTTATCCAGAGGGAGCCATTTTGATTAGCGTCGGGCGATCAATAGGGGCGTCCCTGAGCCCTCTCTCTCTGTGCCTCCATCTGCGCCGGCGGCCGGCAGACAGAGCGGGGTGAGAGGAGCACCGCTGAGAGCGACCGGAGGAGCGTCGCCGAGAGCGACCGGAGGAGCACCGCTGAGAGCGACCGGAGGAG